GCCCCGCCAAGTCGCCCTACCAGCTGGTGCTGCAGCACAGCCGGCTCCGGGGCCGCCAGCACGGGTAAGCCGAGCCGCCCCGCCGGGGACGGGAGAGGGACGGGTCGCCGGGCCCCGAGCGCTCGCCTCGAGGGGCTTCGGAGCGGGCTGGGGGGCTCGCGGGACAAAGCCAGAAGGAAAAGCAGCAGCGGGGGGGGCTCGCGGGACAAAGCCAGAAGGAAAAGCAGCAGCGTGGGGCGCTCGGGACCACCGCTGCACGTGGCAGAGGGAGGGAAGGGGGAGGTGGGCACCCTGGCGGGAAAGCCAGCAGCTGGGGACGTTTTGGAGAAGAAGAAGGTGGGGTACTGACCAGCGACCCCGACTCAGCCTTGGAGGTGGGACTGACCCGCACTTTCAGCCTCTCCTCCCAGCCCGCAGGAGGAAGGGGGAGTTGGCAGCGCTCTGCCCAGAATCACCATGGGAAGGAGCCCTGGGCGAAGTGGAAGCCCACCTAGCATTTGACATATTCCAGCCCCGCCAAGTCCCTGGCAGCGACTCCACACAGCTGCCTGGGGCCACACAAGGTGGCAGTGTCCAAGGTGCCTCAGGTTGCTGTGCCCCTGGCTGTGTCCTACACCGCACTACCTGGGCATGGCAAGGGCAGGGAGACGTCCGTTCCCCTGCCCGTGCAAAGCAGGAGAATTCATCGAGCTTCATGCACGTTGCACTGCTGAGGAAACTGAGTCCTGAGAGGTCACACCACTTTCCCCTTGTCCTACACAGGGGCCAGGATTGGAGTCTTTCTTAAACTAATAGCTGGGTTTGTGAATGTGGGACGTTATCATTGCAAGCATTCCTCTGAGATGCTGATTTCAGGAGATAACCCAGGCAGAAGGTCTGACCCGGTAAAGCCCCCAGCAGGATCCAGGCAGAGGTGGACGCTATTTCTACACCCCAAACCAGGCCTGGCCTGCTTCATACATAAACTGGCATGGCCAGGCTCTGCTGCAACTTCCAGCCTACCTGGTTGTGCCACCTCCCTTGCCACGATAGGTAAAAGTATATGTGAGTAAAGTCATGTAACGGCTCCTTAGAGGATGGCCAAATGCCATCGGGGTCTGGCGTTCACACCCCAGGAAGTGCCTACACCTCCAAGGGAATGGACAGATCTGTACTCAGATCAGAACTCATGGTTGGGGATGACAGAGTGACTTCACAGGCCCTGACAAAGCCTTGGCTCTCCACACCCAGGAGTACTCAGGGTGTGGGTACAGGCTGCCTGTTTCAGGGAGTCTATACCTTTGTTTCCTCGGCCAGTGGTTTCATGGTGTAACTTGGCCTTTCAGGTGTTTAGAGCTTCAGGGAGGGGGGCTGCTGCTCGATACCCTGCAGAGTGAGATCAGGCCAGGCCAGGCCGCAACTTCAACACCTGGAACAAGGAGAGCACCTGCAGATCCTGGGGTCCTTAGGGAAGTGGGACACTCACCTCTGGCTTAGGCCATGTGCATCAGAGGGTGAGAGGCAGGTGGGAAAGACAAGGGGAATATAAGGCCTCAAAGTCAAAATGTCAGCACCCGGTATTTTTACTGTCTCTGCCCGCCTCACCTTGGTCCCTCTGCCATGTTGTTTGAGAGGTGCCACGATCTGCCTGGGAGGTTTCTGCTTCTTCTGTTTCCTACCCAGTAGTCAGGAGAAGATCCCTACAGCATGGCCTGCAGCATGATCACTACCTGTAAGGGCATCTATGGGTACAGCGAGTTAAGGATCTCCCAAGGTGTCCAGGACTTTCCACCAAGAACCATTCTTTTTTTTTTTTGAGACAGAGTCTCACTATGTTGCCCTCAGTAGAGTGCTTTTGCGTCACAGCTCACAGAAACCTCACTCTTGGGCTCAAGTGATCCTCTTGGCTCAGCCTCCCAAGTAGCTGGGACCACAGGCACCTGCCACAATACCCCGCTATTTTTTTTGTTGTTGTCATTGTTTAGCAGGCCCAGGCCAGGTTCGAACTCACCAACCCTGGTCCATGTAGCTGGTGCCCTAACCACTGAGCTATAGGTGCTGAGCTGCCAAGAACCATTCTTAGTAGCAAACTTGCTTCCCTTCAGAGCCCAGAGATTCACTGACCAGCTGGAAAATAGAGCTTTTTAAAAAATCCAGATGCTCCTGATTGTGAGTTTCAGATATTAGATCAACTTCCTCACTGTAACCCTGCAGGCTAATCCTCTTGATTAGCGTCTCACAGTGCAGTTGGAAAGGCTTATGGTACTTTGTGGTGGGCAAATGATCAGAAAAGTTACAGGAGTACCCCTCTCCCAATAAAATCTGGATGCACGGGCACGTGAACCATGACAAAATGGTTGCAGGCACAGTGGCGCTTACTCTAAACTACTTGTCCCTGAAACAAGTAGGGCTGCCACAGGGCTGACTGGCCTTGCACACATGGGTGTGGCCCCCTGTGCAAATGGATAACCTTGTTCAAGCTCTAACCCTGCATTCAAAGTGAGAACTGGAGAATAGGGAAGGAAAACTTCTTTGCTGTTTTAAGGAAATACAGTGTGCTCCAAGATGTGTCAGAAAAAATACTAATTGTGTCTTGTTTGTGCACAGCCCTTTATCACCTATCACCACTGTTGGCTTTCATCTTCACCCCAATACAATGAAATCTATTGTTCATGTTCCCATTTTACAGATGGCCAAACATCAGCTTGGAGAGATAGAGTGATTTATTCAAACACAGAAGGCTGGTGGGAGACAGTTATTATGACATAGTCTGTTGATTGTGTTGCTGTGGGGAAAGAAAGGGGAAAAATAATACTGAACAAGAATTAAAAACACAATCACACTTCCAAATATCAACATCCAAATACTGCATTGAATCTTCTAAAGCACTTGATTTTAAATCCAAGTTGAGCAATACCACTGTTACACTTGAGGCAAAATGTCCAGAAATGGCTTGCTACTTTCAATTAAGCTTCAGTGTAAATTTCCTATGTATACAGCCACCTACAGCCTCCTGATGTGAGAGGGAGAGGGTCACAGCTGCCCCCAGCTTCTGCTCCTGTTACAAGGGCAGCAGCAGTGGAAACACTATAGAGGAATGTGGGAGCCACATTCACAAGAGACTCACTGAAGATTCGCCAAACGCCTACGGAAAGTTGCAGGGAATTCATCGACAGTAATTGTTTCCTGCTTGGTCAGATAGAACTACTGCTGGGATTATACAACAATAAATAAGACCTAGGGCTGGAGGATGGCCAACAGGGACTCTTTGGGGTTATTTGGGGACTGTCTAACCAGTGAGATAACAAACAGAGAACCAGGTGGTTGGAAATCTGGAGGCTGAAACATTTGGTCAGACCCAGCTAGGACTAAGAAGGCAGGGACCCTCCCTCTGCTGGCCTGTAGTTTCTCCAGAATTCACTTCTGTCACCCGGTGTTATTGCATCGATTCACTAATGTCCACTGTGCCTCCTTGACCTATTCCTCTTTGTCTATTGAACAAAAAAACTGGACAAGAGGTGACACACATGTGGTAGAAGAGACAGAGCAGATAAGGAAAGGGTCAGAATGAACTCCCACCCCCTGACTCCATGTAGCTCTCACTGTAATATCAGTGTCTTCCTGAAAGAAACCCTGCACATCAAATGATGTCTGCAGATCACATTTGTAAAGTGACAGAGGAATTGGTATTAAAGAAAGACTTCACCCTTTGAATGCTACCTGAAGTTCTCTGAACCCTCTGTTGTCTTTGCTTTCCTCTGACTGGGATTCATTCAGATGAACCACCTGTCTCCTGTTCAGGAAGACTGACTGATCCCTTTGCAATTGTCACCACACAGCCACCGCAGCCTCCTTTCTCCAGGGACTCCCTGTAAAGGTCCTGCTGTCCCCTGCTCTGAACATGGTTCCAGTCGGGAATTGGCATGCTGGAATAAACCACACAGAAACAAAATCTGGTGGTTCTGGAAAAGGCTTCTCAGTAGAACCCTAGGAAATTTGCCCTCTGCTTTTGCACAGTGTCCCTGTGATTCTTTTCATCTGGGTGGTTTGGGGAGCAGGGTTTTCAATGAGCTCATTCAAAGCTGCTTCTATACCCAACTGGTTGGTAGGATGTGAAAGACAGAATGAGGATGAACACTGCTCCCAAAGTTCTTTTGAGTGTAGCTAAAAGAAGAAACAGTCACCCCACATATGGATCAGTTATAGGATTCTGTTTGGTGGCCAGCATCAAATAAGGACCATATCCTAGGTCACAGGATGAAAGGAAGCACCCAACCTGGGACACTGGAAGAAGGCTGTCTGGGGCAAGTAGGACTTGAGCTGGAGTCTCAGTGAAGAACAAGTGGGAGTTACATGGAGGAGCAGCCCCACTGTGACCTCTGGTTACAGGATACAGACTCATGATAGGTTGCCATGGGGAGCCAGGCGGCTGGTCTAGAGTATGTGTGTATGTGGAGCTGCCTGGAAATGCTTTTATTTACACTTCTCAATTGCCCATGTCAAAGCGGTACCTACATGACGTTGTATCAATGTGTAAGAAAGACTTTAATGATTTTTAATTCAAGAGGAAGCTTTCTTGAGGACCAATGGAAATCTTAGTAGGTGGGTCCATTGTCTACTCCCCAAGCTAGTTCCAGGTACTCAGACTGAGATGGCTGTCCTCTCTTCCATTTCTAGAAAGTTCTAATGGCCCAGGAAGGCCGACTTGATGGGAAGGATATCAAGGTGAGGTGGATGTGCTAGCCACCTTGCTAACTCTGTTGCTTTTGTTTTCAGCCCCAACGTGTGTGCTGTGCAGAAGCTCATTGGCACTAACAAGAAGTACTTCACCAACTGCAAACAGTGGTACCAAAGGAAAATCTGTGGCAAGTCAACGTGAGTATCTGTGACCACCCGAGACCACCACCCGCCAAGGAGGCCCCGCCACATGCATGGTGGCTGCAGGTGCCCCTGGCCTGGGCCAGCCTTCTAAACGGTCAGGCTGCCTAAAGAGCCATGAAGGTGCATGTGCAAACACATCAGGGAACTGTATGCTGGGGAGTGGCTTCTTTAGGAAACTGGGCCAATTTTGTTTTGCATTTTTCAGGCTGCTGACAAAACTTGGGTATGTTTTTAGTTGGTTGGGGAGTGCAAGAGTCGTGAAACGTGGTGGGGAAGGTGCATCTCAGTTCTCACAAAATGATACAAATGTTCAGTGGAGAAGCTACCAACACATGACTCTGGAAAAGAAGGCCCATTGGTGAAGTTATCCTAAAGAGTCCCTGCTCTGCGGCCCTAAGGCAAACACCTCTAGAAGATTTAGAGTGTCTAGACATATGCACACTAGGAGAAAGCATAGCAAATTAAGAACTCTGACTCAAACCTTGGCTCTACCACTTACCTGGGCAGGGTACTTCACCTTTAGAACCCTCCATTGCCCTACTATAGAGTGGGAATACCAAAAGGACCTACTTTATGGGGTTGTGATGAGGAATATGGTGTCTGGCACTTAGTCAGTGCTCAATAAATGCTAGCTGCTATTATTGTCACCCCCAGATTTGCAAACCTAAACCACATAAACACAAACAAAAGTAGCAATGGGGTATGGACCAGTGTGGTTACAAAAGGACTTGTTGGTGCCTCTGTTAGCAAGGAGGGAGGCAGCTTTTACTCCAAGTGCCTTGCTGCCTGATAGAAACAGGGTAGCATGCATGTTCTAACAGATTCTGGGGAAACTTAATCTCTTTTAGCACCAAACATCAGTAGATCTCAAAGCTGACTTTCTCCTACAGGAGAAAGGCACAGAGGCCAGGGACCAGGAAAGGGAGGAAATGTGCGGGTGGGGTGTGGTTTCTGAACACACAAGTGAGGTTTGGAGCAGCTCAGGCAAAGCCCAGTGCTCAGGCCTTACAAAGCTGGAGGGAGATGATAGTCACATTCAAGTTCACCTAGGCCACATTCAAAAAGATAGGAAGATATGCTATGGGCCATGGGAACTCTCCTGAGCCACTTATGAGGGCCTGACCTTCCTTTCTTCTGCATAATAGGAGGATTAAGACAGTCTAAGCCACTATCTTGAATACTTTCCAATGTCAGGGATTTTTAAGTTTATTGCTTGTGACATTGTTTTTGAGCAGACATCTCTTCCAATTTAATAATCAACTGAAAGAAAGGGAAATGCTCTTTCCTTAAAAACTACATGGAAGTAAATCTCCCAATGTGTGACCCTGATTATGTTATGCAGTTATCAATCCTAGGATGCATTGAGGAAAATTAGGAATTGGGGCACAACTGGAGAAAGGCCAGCCATCCTTAGGGGCCTGTGCAGGGCAGGTTTATGGCAGCTGGTTCCTAAGCCCCCAAGCTGTAGTTGAATGAGCTGAGACACACTGTCCACGTTCAGTGAACAGATGCTTAGCATTAATACTTGCTGCTGTGAATAAAAAGATTATTCAAATTCCACCCATCCTTCCATTATGTCCAACTTTAAAAAACAGAATACCTTTAGTACTGATTGATTTTTTTCCATGTGCATATATTATCTACTCAAGCAGTTAATTAATTGTTTAATTAAACATAAAGCCAGGTCCCACATAATTGCTTCTTGGAAGGTGACCAAAGCACTGGTGCCAAGCCAAGAGCTCTTCTGCATCTCAGAGCCTTAAGTTTCAAAGACCACCACCTTTCTGTTATTTCAGGTTTCTCTAAAAATGGGAGCCCTGGGTGATGATGAGCTGGCTACAGGGTGGCGCCAGCCAGGCTGTTTCAGGTGTCCCTGTGTTGAAGCATTTGCTCACCTAGTTAACAGTAGCTTGTTCCTATTCCCCGGCAGTTCCCAGGCTGACCCTGTGGTCAGTGATGAGTCGCTTGGCCTACTGGCTCTTGTTACCTGCCTCCTCCGTGTGTGTAACAGCACAGGGTACCAAGCAACAGAGCTGTGTGTTGACACACTAGGCCGGGGCCTCCCCCCGGAGTCAGGCTCAGCTTTGAGAGTGCAGTGACATGGTGATGCAATGCTCTCTTTCTAGTGGGCACACAGGCCAGGCACCGGGAAAGGGAGGAAATGTGCAGGTGGGGTGTGGTTTCTGAACACAAGTGAGGTTTGGAGCAGCTCAGGCAAAGCCCGGTGCCCAGGCCTTAGAAAGCCGGAGGGAGGTGATAGTCACGTTCAACTTCACTTAGGCCACATTCAAAAAGAGGAAATGAGGATAGAAAAACATGAGTTGATATAAAACTTCATGATCCAGGACAAGAGAAGCCCTTCCTGGAACATCACATGCAGTGTCAGGAAGGTGGAACTGAGTTGGAAAAGATTCAGAAACTCAGAGAGGAGAAGAGGAAGAGGCTGAACCCATCTCCATTCTCTCAGAGGGCTGAGTGGGAGTAGCTTGGCAGGGCTCCTGTGGACAGACCCAGGACTGAGACCAGTGAGAAGCCTGCGGTCTGACAACCATGTGGCTAGAGCTAAGTATTAGGGTAGTCAGGTGGGAAGGGGAGAGGGGTCAGGTACTGGCAGCCAAGTGTCATCAAGGGGCCTGAGACCAGATGAAAGCAGGCACATGGAGGTGAGGTCACAGAGTAACAGGTACAGGCCTTGAGACAGGAGCCTGTAGCCACTGACCTGCTGCTATGGGGCCCTGGATTCCACCTCCTACAGGGAGAGCCTGGCCACACTCAACCCTGCTGGCCTCAGGTGGAGCTACAGGAGCTTCAGATGATGGCTTTTCTGCATGTACAGAGAGAGAAGGACATCAGTCCTTGGTGTTATATGTCAAGCCCAACATATGGATTTTATTACAGGAAGTGGTTACCAATCAGCCCCTGTTTAGTGGCTTGAGTGAATTTTATTACTTGGAAATTCACTTCAGCATTTATTTCAGATCCTAAAGCTCAGCAGACTGATACAATGGTTCATCAGACAAAGAGGATTGTGGGAGACTGACGGCCTGTCCCTCTGAGATTTCAGGCCCTGGTTTCAGTAGTAGTCATAAAACTTTTACATGTGGCACCTTGAGCAAGGTGCAGGAAATTGTGGTCAGGAAGCCTGGCTATGTCTCGACAGGCCTCCCTTGTGTGCGCCCCAGGGAAAGGAAGCCTAGTTAACAGCCAAGTCTGAGTTGGCATCACAGGCTGGAATAGGCAGGACAGGAGTGCAGACATCATAAACGTGGCACAGGGAGGGCCAGTGCGGGAGCTAGCAGGTAGGGTGGCAGCTATCCATTCCAAAAGTCTTGACATTTTTTCACAAGCAACACATTTTACAAGTGCAAAAGCCATTCTCTGGAGCCAGATGAGCTGGCAGGACACTCCCATTTCTCTGGTAGCAGGCCTTGCTTTGTCCAGAGGCTAAAATACTAATGCTTCTTCAACACCATGTTAAAGCTTAGAGATTTAACTTTTACCAAAGCCAGCTGTATGGTTGAGCTTTACCATCAGCTGGAAGGGCTATTTCTAGTAGTTGTCATTCTGGGAGGGGCACCCAGAGACTTCTAACACGAAGCTGAAGAAGAGCCATCCTTTTCCTCCTGTTCTCATGTCCCACAACCTTGATCCCAAGTGGGAAAAGAGAAAGATGTTGAGAAGCCACCAGGCTTTCCCCAAACCCACGCCAGCACTTCTTCCCTGTATCATGTTCCCCGTGCAGCCAGCTCGAATCCAGGAGTAAACTTCTCCAAGATAACTGGGATTGAGCATAAACCAACACCAGAGAGTTACCAAACATCTGTTTTGGGCAGTGCTTCCTGGAAGTTCCATCCCATTCTATAAACTAAGAGGCTGCTCAACTGACATGGAGTTTTATTGTCTTGAGTACTTATGTGAACCCATGTGCCATCTAGGGTAAGGCCCTGTGGTTGGTAGAAAAATGACCCTCGAAAGTGGTGCACTTTCTAATCTGCAAACCTGTAAATGTACTCCCTTCCATGGAAAAAGGGTCTTAAGGATCTTAAGAGGGGAGATTATCCTGGGTTATCTGGTGAGTCTGATGTAATCATAAGAGTCTATATAAGAGGGAGCAGCAGGGTCAGACTCAGGGAAGATGTGATGATGAAAGCTGAAGTTTGAATGATGGGATCACAAGCCAAGGAATACGGGTACCACTAAAGGCTGGAAAAGTCAAGGAATAGAGTTTGCCCTACAGCCTTTAGAAGGAATGCAGCCTTTGATTTTTAGACCCATCAGGGTGATTTCTGACTCTAACTTCCAGAATTGTTTAAATTAATAAATGTTTATTGTTTTAAATCAATAAATTTGTGATAATCTGTTACAACAAGCAGCAGGAGACTAACACAGGCCCTGTGTATTGAGTTCTATGGATGTATTATGGGGAATTTATTTGCTACAATGTGATTTGATCACTGGTATGTAAGACATTATTAACCTAGCTTCAGTTTTAAAGTTCAATACTTGGAGTTTTTTGTGGTATTTGTTTTTTTTATTTTGGAAACAGGGTCTTGCTGTATTGCCTGGGATAGAGTACTTATGTGAACTCCCTTGCAGTGCTACAGTCATAGCTCATTGTAACCTCAAACTCCTGAGCTCAAGTGCTTCTCCCACCTTAGCCTCCCAAGTAGCTGAGACTACAGGTGGTTACCACCAGTCAATTTTTTTTTTTTGAGACAGAGTCTTACTATGTCACCCTCAGTAGAGTGCCGTGGCACCACAGCTCACAGCAACCTCAAACTTTTGGGCCTAAGTGATTCTCTTGCCTCAGCCTTCCAGGTAGCTGGGACTACAAGTACCCGCCACAATGCCTGGCTATTTTTTGGGTGTAGTTGTCATTGTTGTTTAGCAGGCCTGGGCCTGCCAGCCCCTGGTGTATGTGGCCAAGGCCCTAACCACTGAGCTACAGGCACCCAGCCTACCAGCCAATTTCTAAAATAATTTTTGTAGAGACA